GTTTGCGCTGTGCGCGCTCCTCGTCTCCTTCTTGACCTCGCCCACCCGGGGACAGAGCGTGTCGGCCGAACCATCTGCTTCTCCCTCTGCCACTCCCTTTGTAGAGTCCAGCGCCTCGCCATCCCCTGACCCCTCTCTTTCCCCCATCCGCCTCGCCCGCCGCCTCTTCTTCAGCCTCTCCGTCGACCGTGCCATCAACTTCTCCCTCTGCCTCTCCCGCCGCCTCCTCGTCGCCCTCCGCCTCGCCCGCCGTCTCCACCTCTCCCTCCGTTTCCCCGTCACCCTCGCCCTCTTCTTCGCCCTCTGCGTCTCCCTCTGCCTCGCCTTCCCCTTCGGCCTCGCCCTCGGCCTCGCCGGCCGCCATCGTGGGCGCTCCCGCGTCTGATGAGGACGACGACGACGACGACCACTGGTGGGACCACGTCTCCAACCGTGCTGCTGTGGGCCTCGTCGTGGCCTTTGCCGTCCCTGCCATCGTCGTCGGTGCGCTCGTGGCCGCCTACATCACCTACAAGGCCTACAACAGGAGGTACGATCACATTCATAGCAGTCGCTACATGATTACTGATCATAGTCCTATTTCTACTCTAAATAGGAGGTTCGTCGAGACGGGCAACACGCCCCAGGCCCGCGATGTCGAGTCGGAGATGGAGCAGTACCCCAACCCGGTCTTCTCCCTCGAGGACGACGGTGAGGAGGACCACAACCTCTAAACCTGACACAACCACCATCCGCTAAGAAGAAATAGCTTTTCTTCTTCACCACGATGTACATACTCTGACACTACATTACATAAACACATGCACGCACCATCAAGTAAGAAAATCCTCCAAAACGGTGGCTCGAGGGGTATCGACCAACCACGAGAGACAGTTCAAGTAGTGCCGAAAGCGTGGCTACCGCTTATATCTATAAGTCGTTAACATTAACATCAACACTACATTTACATCCCAATATATTAAAAAAATGTTTGGTGTATTGTTGTACCGTGAAAATGTTTGATGTGTGGAGGGTAGTAAGGGTAGTGGTGTTCGTTCGAACTAGCTGATCTTCTTGGCTGGTGATGAAGATGATGAGGGTGGTGATGAAGATGATGATGGTCTCTTTTGTCGGCGCAGGAGGCCGGTGGGCAGGGCGACGGCGTAGAAGAGGATGGCGGCGACGCCCAGGAAGTGGGGCATGAAGTAGAAGGCCGACCACACCTTCATGGCGTTGTCGAAGGTGAAGGTGCGGAAGATGATGACGTGGTAGCTGAGGCCCACGAGCATACAGAATAGCGACGCGCCGTCGTAGAAGTACTTCCGGGGGTAGGCGCCCGTTCGCCCGTCCGGGGCCATGAAGTAGGGCCGAATGTACATCCGGTTCACTATACCATCACCATCACCACAACACAAACAAACATTTAATTAAAGTATATATAATTCATATATAAATAATGCACATCATAAATAAATAAATAAAGAACAAATAATAAGCGACGTACGGCGACCGATGGCTCCAAAGACGGCGAGGGAGAGGAAGAAGAGGTAGTAGCCCGCGTAGAATCCCTGCAATGCCACACGACACGCGCATAGGGGGGGGGGAGTTGGGCAATGAAGATCGGGCGGCGGAGGGGGTGGGGTGCGGTGGTGCAACGTACGTGCCAGATGGCGGACACGAAGAAGGTGGCGAAGAAGGGCACGATCTGGCGCACGAACCCGACCGGCTTGGCCGGCGGCAGCGGGGCTCCGGCCTTGTCCGCCACCACGTTGGTGCGCGCCGGCAGCAACCGCACATACACATCTGCCCGTGTGTGCGGTGGTGAGTGTGTGTCGTGTGTGTCGTGCGTGTGTGCGGAGGTGTGTGTCGTGTGTGTGCAGTGGTGCGGAGGAGAGCGCGTACATCGCTTGAGCCAGTTGGCGGACACGATGTTCCAGTTGGCGGCGAGGGTGGAGGGGTCCTGGGCCAGCTTGAAGGGAATCAGCCGGAGCATCAGGAGCCGATCCCTGCGCGTCGCATACCCCGAATTCCACGCTTTGGTCAGCCACGGCGCACGCCACAATGAAGGAATGCAAGAAATGAAGGTGCGTACCAGAGGACGTGGCCGTTGGCGTCGCGGCCGTTGTAGCCGAGGCCCGAGAGCATGATCGCGCCCTCGCCCAGGAAGAACACCACGTAGTATTTGTCGAACCTGGTACCGACAAACAACAACCACCACCATCATCATTAGCATCATCATGGCCATGATGGTGTGTGATCTGTTGTGTGTTGTGTGTGTTGTGTGTGTGTGTGTGTGTTGCACTTACCCGAGCTCGCTGGAGACCATGACGTACAGCCATCGGTACCAAATCGACTTCTCTCTGTGTTGTGCACGACACGACACACACGACACACACGACACACACGACACACACGACACACACGACACACACGACACACACGACACACACGACACACACGACACACACGACACACACGACACACACGACACACACGACACACACGACACACACGACACGACACACGGGTGAGAAGGTGTTGAGGCGTGTTGGAACTGCCGCCGGGCGGGCGTGCAGGAGGTCCTCGTACAGGAATTCGGGGCTGGTGGCAAAGGTCTCGGGGAACTTCTGGTGGAGGTAGAACAGCGGCACCGCCGCCAGGGCCATCCCCAGCCGCGCGACCCCCGCCTTCCACGACCCGCCCGGAATCCGTCCACCCTGTGTGCCGTGTCGTGTCGTGTTGCGTGTGCGTGTGTCGTGCGTGTCGTGCGTGTCGTGCGTTGTAAGTAACCGCACACATCAATCACATCATAT